TTATTATTATTTGTTTGTTGTTCTCTCAGCCGCCCCTGCTTGCACGAGGCGCCCCTGCGCTTCTGAATTGGAGGCGCGGGGGCGCGGCGCCTGCCCCCGCCTCCCGCGGGCGGACGTCGGCCCGCCCATGTTGGTGCGTTCTCTGTCTGTCTGTCTGTCTGTGTGTATGTATGTCCGTCTCCCTCCTTTTATATTTTTTCTTTCTCTCTCTCTCTCTCTCTCTCTCTCTCTCTCTCTCTCTCTCTCTCTCTCTCTCTCTCTCTCTCTCTCTCTCTCTCTCTCTCTCTCTCTCTCCTCTCTCTCTCTGTCGGAGGCGGGTCGCGGGCCCTTCGGTCGCAAGTGGGCCGCGTGCCTGGTAGCGGAGCGCGGGGGGGCGTAGGTCGGGCGTTTAGGTCGGCAAACTTAGGTTGTAGGCTCGGGCGCGTAGGCGTAGGTCGGGCGTTTAGGTTCGGGCGCTTAGGTTGTGCGTGTGTGTGTGTGCGTGTGTGTGTGCGCGTGTGTGTGTTTGTGTGTGCGTGCGTTCGTGTGCGTGTGCGCGTGTGTGCATGTGTGTGCGTGTGCGTTTGAGTGCGCGTGTGTCTCTGTCCTAGGGCTGCCCTTGCTTTTTTTTTTTTTTTTGCGGCCGCGCATGCGCAGTACCACGAGCCCGACAGGCGGCAGCGGAGTCCCAGAGCGAGGCGGAGGCGTGGGCGCTGCCCCCTCTCCCTCTCCTGCCCTGATCATCCGTTCTCGAAAAATTTGCATCGCTGGAGGGCGTCGGAAAGTAAGCAGGCACTCCCCCCTCTCCCTCTCCTGCGACTAGCGCGGGCCCATGCTGCTGGCGAGCATATACGCGTTCCACAATCGAGTAGTCTCTCTCTCTCTCTCTCTCTCTCTCTCTTCTCGCTCTCTCTTTTTCCCCATATCCTAAGATGGGGTTATTGTTATTACTTGGACGCCTCCTACTCCTCCTCCTTCTTCCTCCTCCTCTTTTCTCGCCCCCTCCTGTCGGACATACTCAGACTTGCTCATGCACATACTTACTCATACTCAGACTTACTCATACTCAGACCTACTCATACTCAGACTTACTCACACTCAGACATACTCATATACAGACGTACTCATACACAGACTTACTCATACACAGTATTAGTCATACCCATACGTACACATACACAGACTTACTCATACACAGACTTACTCACACTCAGCACCCCTAAGGGGAGCCGCCAGGGGTGGTTGCACGGGCTCGTTCGCGGCCATTTTGTGGGGATGTCTCAGGCGGTTTGCCTGTTTCTGTGCCCAACATCCTTCGCTTTCGGAGCAGATTTTGGAGGATGTCTCGAGCGAGGCGCTCATTTCAGCACCCCTAAGGGGAGCCGCCAGGGGTGGTTGCACGGGCTCGTTCGCGGCCATTTTGTGGGGATGTCTCAGGCGGTTTGCCTGTTTCTGTGCCCAACATCCTTCGCTTTCGGAGCAGATTTGGAGGATGTCGAGCGAGGCGCTCATTTCAGCACCCCTAAGGGGAGCCGCCAGGGGTGGTTGCACGGGCTCGTTCGCGGCCATTTTGTGGGGATGTCTCAGGCGGTTTGCCTGTTTCTGTGCCCAACATCCTTCGCTTTCGGAGCAGATTTGGAGGATGTCTCGAGCGAGGCGCTCATTTCAGCACCCCTAAGGGGAGCCGCCAGGGGTGGTTGCACGGGCTCGTTCGCGGCCATTTTGTGGGGATGTCTCAGGCGGTTTGCCTGTTTCTGTGCCCAACATCCTTCGCTTTCGGAGCAGATTTGGAGGATGTCTCGAGCGAGGCGCTCATTTCAGCACCCCTAAGGGGAGCCGCCAGGGGTGGTTGCACGGGCTCGTTCGCGGCCATTTTGTGGGGATGTCTCAGGCGGTTTGCTGTTTCTGTGCCCAACATCCTTCGCTTTCGGAGCAGATTTGGAGGATGTCTCGAGCGAGGCGCTCATTTTCACCCCCCAGGTGGGCCAGATTTTGAGGATGTCTCGATCGGTTTGCTTGTTTTGGTGGCCAGGCTCGTGGGCGCAGATTCTTCTCAGGATGCCACAGGAGGCTCCAACAGGCTCCAGGAGGCCCCAGGAGACCACATGAGGTCCCAGGAGGCATCAGGAGGCCACAAAAAGACTCAAGAGGCCACAGGATGTCCCAAGAGGCGCCAGGAGGCCCCAGGAAGCTCCAGAAGGCCCCAGGAAACCACAGGAGACCCCAGGAGACAACAGGAAGCGCCAGGAGGCCTCGGACGGCAACAGGAGGCCCCGAGAGGCCCCAGGAGCAGGAGGCCTCAGAAGGCAACAGGAGTGGCTCCAATCCCATGTGTTTTACGTATGCTCCTATCGATTGGGCCTCACCTGGAGCACGATTCTTTGATGTTCTACGTGTGTTTCTATAGATGGTCCTTCTCCTGTGTGCACAATCCTAAATGTTTTACTCATGTTCCTATGTATTTGGCCTCTCCTGGGGCACGAGTCCTTGGTGGTTTACGCGTGTTCCTATATATTGCCCTTCTCCTGTGGCTCTAATCCGCAATGTTTTATGTACGTCTGTTGCTATAGATTGCGCCTCCCCTGGGGCACGAAACCTTCCTAGGAGGTCCCAGGAGGTCCCAAGAGGCTCCTGGAGACCCCAGGAAGCCCCAGTAGGTTTCAGGAGGCCCCAGGAGGCCCCAGGCTCATGCACAGAGACGCGCTCGTACTATACTGAGGCTCATTCACACTCCAATTCATTCGCAGTTAGATTGATGTCCAGACCGTCACAACTGAAGCCCGTTAATATTCGAAAGCTCTTGCGCCTAGACATTCACGGCGGACAGGCCCATGCGAGTAGATGCACATATGGGGAGCTCCACGCAGTGACTAACTCTCTCTCTCTCTCTCTCTCTCTCTCTCTCTCTCTCTCTCTCTCTCTCTCTCTCTCTCTCTCTCTCTCTCTCTCTCTCTCTCTCTCTCTCTCTCTCTCTCTCTCTCTCTCTCTCTCTCTCTCCTCTTTCTCTCTCTCTCTCTGAGACGCCCAATATGGCCCCGCGGGGCCATCTCCCTCTCCCTCACCCTCTTTCTCCGAGACGCCCCATATGGCCCCGCGGGGCCATCTCCCAAAAGGCCCCCACCCATGCAAAACAACAGTTGCTTCAGTCAACCCGCGTCGTGAGGATGGGCAACCTTCCCAGGGCTACCCTTGCATCGTTGTCCCGTCGGCCCATCCTTTGCGACTTCACCTGTCAGCCTCGCTTGAAAAAACGCCATGGGCCTCCTGGGGCTGCGCATCCTTACCGCGCATCCTTGCGACGCGGGCTGACTGCAGCCAACGTGAAACAATCCGTAGACATTTCGTCTCTGATCAGATCCTGGTCCGATTCTGGCCCGATGGCTGGGCCCCCCCCCACCAAGACGTTCACGGAACTCAAGCGATGGCGAACGAGTCAAACGTGGGACGGCTGGACGGGCCGACTCATCGCGCTCTCATGGAGCGAGGGCGGCGTCGAGGAGACGTGGATGTGGAGGCCGCCCATCGCTGACCAGGGCAAGGGCGACGGCAAGGGCGACGGCAAGGGCGACGGCAAGGGCGACGACCCGAACAACGGTGAGGGCGATGGCAAGGGCGGCAAGGGCGTCGGCCGGAACAACGGCAAGGGCGGCGGCAAAGGCAAGGACAAGGACAAGGACAAGGACAAGGACAACAAGAAGGTCAACGGCAACGGCAAGAAAAAGGCCCAGGACAAGGCCATGGGCAAACGCAAGGCCAACGACAAGGGCAAGGACGGCAAGGCCAAGGACAAGGCCATAGGCAAACGCAAGGCCAAGTGAGCAGCCCGACGGCCCAGCCCGACGGAGGAGGAGGAGGAGGAGGAGGAGGAGGAGGAGGGAGGAGGAGGAGGAGGAGGAGGAGGAGGGAGGAGGAGGGAGGAGGAGCAGGGAGGAGGAGGGAGGAGGAGGATGGAGCCTCACCTGCGGCCTCACTGGCCCTGCCCCTGCCGCCTGGCGCCGCATCGGAGCACATCGTCATCGGCATCAGTAGTAGTAGTAGTAGTAGTAGTAGTAGTAGTAGTAGTAGTAGTAGTAGAAGTAGTAGTAGTAGTAGTAGTAGTAGTAGTAGTAGTAGTCGTAGTAGTAGTGGCATCGGCATCACATCGGCATCACATCGTCACCTCCTCCTCCGCGCTCGAAATTGCAGGTTCGAAAATGCAATAATCTGGGGCTCGAAATTGCAATCGACATTTCCATCGCCATCGAAATTGCGCGATCGAAATTGCGGGCTCCGATTTTGAGTTCTCCCGATCGAAAGTGCAGAGAAATTTCTGCAAGATGCATCTTGCAGAACTTCTCTCGGAATTTGGAGAACGGAGGATCAGGGTCTAGAGTACCTAAAATCGCCTCTTCGGGCGCTCTTGGAGCGCTCTTGGGGCCGTCTTGGGGCTCTCTTCTTGTGACCCTCTTGAAGCTCTCCTGGACCATCTTGGAGCCATCTTGAGGCCTCGGACGGCCATCGAAAGCGAAAAGGCGAGAAAGCTAAACACATTGATTTTCGTCCGTTGGTCTCTTGGGGGCCTCCTTGGGCACTCGGAGCCGTCTTGAGGCGGTCTTAGTGCCTCTCGGAGCATATTGGAGGCAATCTTGAACAATCTTGCGCTATCTGGAGTCATTTGGGAGGCCATCTTGAGCTCTATGAGGCCCTCTTGGAGCCATCTTGGGCCGTCTTGGACGCTCCAACTCCCCGCGACCACCGGTCGCTTCCGAAACCTCCCCAGGGTCGAGACGCCTTGCTAAAAAAAAGCTGCGTTCGAAGCTTCCGCATGCCAGCTCAATGGGAGCACACCTACGTACCTGCCTCCCTCCTCCTTCCTCCCTCCTCCATCCTCCCTCTCCCCCCACCCCCTCCCTGCTTCCATGCCCAGTGCTGGGCCTCACACCTGTGCTCACTATCGGTGCAGTGCCGTTGAGACAGGCCTCCTCGACCGAGCACAGCCCCCTCCCGATACTTCCTTCGCACCCCCTGCCAGCCGGCCCGAGGACCCCCGGCGCATCGGCGCCGCTAGCCCCCCGCCCACCAGGCCCGGCGGGGGCGGGTGGATGATGGGCCCAGGACCCCGGGATTGCGAGGAGGAGGGGGAGAGGGAGGAGGGGGAGGAGGAGGAGGAGGAGGAGGAGGAGGAGGAGGAGGAGGAGGAGGAGGGGGAGGAGGAGGAGGAGGAGGAGGAGGAGGAGGAGGAGGAGGAGGAGGAGGAGGAGGAAGAGGAGGAGGAGCAGGAGGAGGAGGAGCAGGAGGAGTAGGAGGAGCAGGAGGAGTAGGAGGAGGGCCCTCCGCGGGCCCCGGGGCCGTCGAGGAGCGGCTCGGGCGGAGAGGCTGGTCCCGGGGGAGGGCCCCAGACGCCGGGACACGTTTCTCTCAGGATCCGTTCCCTGCGTGTTGATCTCGGGGCCCATCAAGCAGTGGCCAAGCGTCCTGGCGTGCCTATAGGCCTACCAAGCAATGTTCTAAGAATCTTTTTTGTGGTTTCCACGAAATGTTCTTAGAACATTTCTGGCTGGGACTGTCTTGTTTTAACACATCGGGTTGATGTTCTAAGAGCATATTTTTTGTTATTCGAACATGTTTGGGTTCTAAGAACACTTCGTGGTAGGAACCCGGGCCCCCTCGAGCAATGAGAAAATGACGACGGGAGGCTTTTCGCAATTCTCGGCATCTGGGGGTCCTTACCGAGCCATTGGAGCGGCACAAAACGATTCGCGACGAAAAACTGGACCCAGGGAATAGGTCGAAACCTCCTTGGGGGTCGACGTCATGAAAAAATCATGAGGTCGGGGGTCTGGGGACAGGGGGAAGGCAGTGACGTCATTCGAAGCGGACGGCCCAGCCAGGAGTGTCTGCATCGTCCCGAGCGGCCGCCGGAGGTCCAAGTCACGACCCGAAAGCCAGGCGACGAGGATCCCTCGGGGCGGACAAGAGGGGGGGATTGGGAACAGGCGGGTCCGAAATCTGCGGCTTGCGGCCGGTTCAGTCGTCGCCGCTGGGCGTTTTTGGCGCCCCTCCGGCATCGAGGGCGCCCGGGAAGCTAGCTGCATGCAGCCGATCCGCCAAACGCTATGTAGACGTAAGGCCGGCGCCTTCTAAGAAGCAGCCTCCTTCTAAGAAGCCTTCCCCCCTCCCCCTACCCCCCTCTGCGCGCCGCCAAACTCCCTTTTTTATCACCCTCTTCCATCTGCTCGAGCTGGTGTACTTTGAAAATCATTAGGTCGGGCCGAGAGGAGGAGGGCGGGGAGGGGGAGGAGGAGCACCGAGGATCGAGGCCGTTGACGTTCACATACGTGTGTTCTCGGCGTCACCCCAACATACTAATACTACATGTGCGTCGCCCCCCAAGGGGCGACGCGCGCACCGAGAAATCTTATAGTATATGCGTCATGGCTGGCACTGTCTTTCCACACCGCTCGGGAAACGATATACTACAAGATGGGGATGCTATTGGTTCGGGTCGGACCCGCGCCTCCGAGGAGCACATCTAGTACTGGTATGTCTTCGCGCGTCCCATTCATGTTCGACTGCCTGTACACTTCTGCTTGGCCTCCAGACGCCTTCTGGGGGCCCCCGGGGGCCTCTGGGGGCGACGCGCTGAGCCACGCGGAACGTTGGCGCTTCCGGAGGGCCGCGGCGCGCCGCGCTCCACGCGCCGGTGGGGCATCCGTGGGCACCCGCGCACCATGCAGGTCTTCGGGGTTCGGCTCCGGACTTTTCGCCTCGGCGGTGCGGTGTCACCGGGGGCGCCGAAGAGGCGGCGGAAAGGACGAATGTCAGCCCCGGGGAGGACGCCCCACGTCCTCTGCCAGGCCTCTTCCTGTTTCAATGCGTCCCCTGCCTCCCCCCGGGCCGCGCACATGCCCCCCTCTTGGACGCCACCCTCTTGGAAGCCGCCGAGTCGGCTGAGGACTTCTCGCCTGAGCGGTGTTGTGTCGTCGGGGGCGCCGACGAGGGCGGAAAGGACGAATGTTAGCCCCGGCCAACTGTCCTCTCCCAGGGGTGGAACAGCGCTCCCGGCGGCGAAGATGCATGCTTCTTCTCCCCGTCGGTATGGTGACCCCCAGCCAGCGTTGCAGATCTTGCTGCCTGCCAGGATTTCGGGTGATGTCGAGAGACGCGGCTCCGGCGATCTCAGGCCGCTCAAACATTTGTTCGTCTTAGCCCCAGAGTCGGAGGTGGATAGACCTCCTACCCTGACACGTCGATTAAGGAATTGGCCGTTTTCGGTTCGCGAGAGGGCGTCGCGGCCGTCATTTTTGCGGGTCCAGGTCCGTCGGTTTCGGCCCCAGGCCGTTTTCACCAAGGGCAGGTTTACTAAAGGGAGGTTTGTCCACCGCCGACAGAGGCTTAACCTATAGTTCTTGGACTCGTATTGCGGTCAGGAGCGTTGGCGCAGCGCGTCGCGGCAGCGGCCCCAGCGGCAGGCCGTGCCCTGCGAGAGCATGGCGTGACGCTCCGCTCCGCAGGGCGGAAGGCTGGGACAGGCCGGGGAGGTGGACAATCGGGCACTGGGCCGTGGTGGGCGTGCTGGACCGAAGCGTGGGGGTTGCCAGGATCGGCGGCGCGACCCGCTGGACAAACGTTCCTGACCGTAGGGTTCAGTCGGACACGTCCCTCCGCAGGAGGAACATCCAAACGATAGTCAAACAAAATCTTCTGGGCACGATCTTTCTACTATGTTTAACTATGCTGGCGCATGTCTTGATTATGTCTTCTTTGTCCTCCAAAAGCCTCCTGTAGGATGACATGCCCGATCTAACCGTAGGGGTGTGCGCACGCCATCCCAGATCCCCGACGTCATGATCTGTTCATGACGTCGACCCCCAGAGGTCTCGACCTATTCCCTGGGACCGGTTTTTCATCCTGAGTCGTTTTTGACGGTCCTGAGGCCCGGCAAAGGCCCCCGGAGACCGAAAATTATGAAAAACTTCCAGTCGTGTTTTTTTCATTGCTCGAGGGGGTCGCAGAGATCGCCCTCCATGAAGCAACGCCCGGCTCGTCGGTGGCGGAGGGCACGAAGAAGCTGGGCAGATCGGGAGAACGGCCTCGCGGCCCCCTGACTTGATAAAAAAAGCCTGCTCCTTGAGGTCCTATCGGGACAACGGCTCGTCCCCCGATCCCGCGACTCTCTCGCGCGCCCTCTTCGGCCAACCCCCCCCCCGCCGCCTCGAGCCTCGCTCTTACTCGTTCCGCTCACGTCCTCGCGCCCTCCTCGACGGTCCCCCCCCCCGCCGCGTCGATCCTTGCTCCTCCTCGATCCCTCGAGGCAAGGATCCCGAGAAGGCAAAAGCCTGGAGGCGCCGCACGGAGCGCGAGGAGGAGGTGGAGGTGGGAGGAGGAGGAGGATGAGGAGGAGGAGGAAGAGGAGGAGAAGAAAGAGGAAGAGGAGGATGAGGAGGAAGAGGAGGAGGTGGGAGGAGGAGGAGGAGGAGGAGCAGCAGCAGCAGCAGGAGGAGGGAGGAGGAGCAGGTTGGAGGAGGGAGGAGGAGGAGCAGGAGGAGGAGGAGAGCTCGAGGCGGAGGAGGAGTAGGAGGATGAGGTGGGAGGCGGAGTAGGGGAGCGAAGAATTGCATACACATAAACTCGGAGGTCTGCGCGGATTTCTCGGATCGGCGCTGGACCCCTCTCCCTGGCGGCGCCAGAGGCGCTGCCAGGGGACCCCAGCGCTGATCCGAGAAATCCACACGGACCTCCGAGTTTTTAGGTTTATGTAGCCATGTGTTCCCCTAGAGGAGGAGACGGAGGAGGAGGGAGGAGGAGGAGGAGGAGGAGGAGGAGGAGGAGGAGGAGGACTGGCGCAACGACCACCTAGCCCATGCCTGCCTAACGTCAGGTCGGCTCTTGCAGGCCGACCGCCTAACGCAGTGGTTGCCTCGTTCCTCTTCCAGGCCACGGTTCATTGCATGCGCTTGCCTATCGCAGGTCGGCTTGTGCAGTGCTCCCGGTTTGCCTTTCGACCGCCTGATTTGCACATAGGTCGAGGCCGAGTCAGGTGAATTCTGTGGTCGCGTTTATTGTTCCTCAAAAGAACCAAGCAAACTATGGTGTATTTAACGTGGAAAAGATTCAATAGAGGAGGAAGAGGAGGAGGAGGAGGAGGAGGAGGAGGAAGAGGAGGATGCAAGAGGAATAGGAGGAGGACGTGGACGAGGACGAGGAGGAGGAGGAGGAGGAGGAGGAGGCCTTACGCCACAAGCTTGCCCTTCAGGTCCGATCAACGTCAAACAGAAGGAAGATGAAGGAAGGTGAGGAGGAGCCCTGCCGTTGATGCTCGCCCACCGTTCAAAAGGAGCAGCATGAGGATTGAGGAGCGTCAGGCCTGGTGCAGCTCGCGCAGAGATCTTCCGTGGCGTTGAAATCCCGAGAACAATGTTTTGGCATGCTTCAGGGTCTTCAAACGGTTGTCTTCCAACGAGGCAGTTCCCTCAATGGAAAGGAAGCGTTGTAGGGACCAAAGAAGAGGAAGCTTGGAGGGAGGGTTAATTCCAACATCGTTGATGGCTCTTGGGTTTACACTCCTCCTCTCCTCCTCCTCCCCTCTCCTCCTCCTCCTCCTCCTCCTCCTCTCCCTCTCCTCCTCCTCCTCTTTTCCTCTTTCCTCCCTCCTCGCAGCCCTCCTTTCCTCCTCCTCCTCCTCTCTCCTCCTTCTCTTCCTCCTCCTCCTCCTCCTCCTCCTCCGCCTCCTCCTCCTCCCCCCCCCCGCCCCCTCCCCCTTCCGTGCAAGCAGACTCGCTGGGTACGTAACCCAGAGGGAAGCGCTCTCCCTCGGCCACGCGCACAACCCAGATCCCCTCGGGTCATGAAAAAAACAGGACGGGAGGTTTTGCGCTTTTGGGTGTGGGAAGTGGGTATGGGGAGGTGGGCGGGCTTCTTGTAAACACCCCTGCTTCTCAGAGGGCGCGGGCCCTGTCTGTAGATGTAGGGCTGGCCTCCTTCTAAGAAGCGCCCTTCTTCTCGGAAGCCTCCCCCCCTCCCCCTACCCCCCCGGGCGCGCGGCCAACTCCCCGCGCGCGAACCTTGTGCTGGATCAGCTTGTGGGGGTGGGTATGCAGACATTGTGCCCCCAGGTGGCTCTGTTTGCGTGCACAGCCCGCGCTCCGCGGACTCGAACTGTAGGTGTCAAAAATCGTGCCCCCCCTCCGTGCAAGCAAGCTTGCCAGAACCCACAGGAGAGATGTCCCCCCCAGACCCCCGACGTCATGATTATTTCAGGACGTCGACCCCCCGAGGTCTCGACCTATGCCCCGGGTTCGGTTTTTCATCCCGAGTCGTTTTTTGATGGTCCCGAGGCCCGGTGAGGGCCCCCAGAGGCCGTGAATGGCGATGAACCTCCCGTCGCTCTCGGCCTCCTCCCCCTGCGCACCGGAGGCCCGGGCCAGCCAGCCCCCCTGGCCGCCCCGCCCTCGGCCGGGCGGCCGCTCCGCGCGGAGAGGGCGAGGCTCCCGCCGATCGGCGCGGCGCGCTGGCGGGGGGCATGCCGCGCGCCCCGCGGGGGGGGAGGCAGCGGCGGCCCCCTTGCCTGTCGTGTGTGTCTGTGTGTGTGTCTGTGTGTGTGTCTGTGTGTGTGTGTGTGTTTGTGTGTGTGTGTGTCTGTGTGTGTGTGGGTGTGTGTGTGTGTGTGTCGGGCCATCAAGAGCGCACGTCCAGCAGCATCGGAGCAACTGACCGTGGCCTGTGCCAACGGGCCCACTTGGGCCGCTTAGGAGCCTCTGGGCAGGACCAGAAACCGAAAGCAGGCAATCCCCAGATCACCGAAAACAAGGCGCCTCCGAACCCCGCGGAGGCCAGGGCCGAGGACGAGAAGACACTCTCACCCCGACAGAAAACTACAGGGCTTCACCCGTGTAAGGATTCAGGCCGTGGAGGAGCCTGTCCCGACGGCGAGCCCTCTCGCGGAGGGCAGGGGGGGTGCGCTGACTTGATGCAGGCAGGGGCCCCGTGCACACGACCAGCAAACCACGCGCCTGCTGCTTGCCAGAGAGATACCCGCACTTGCGACAAAAGGTGAAAGGCGGGGCGGAGACCAGCTCGTGTCCCCGCTCGTGAACGACCCCCGTCCCACCGCCCGTACCCCCGCCTTCCTCCTCGGCGGCCGCGGCAGCGGCGGCGCGGCCGCGGGCTGCCTGGCCCCGCACCCGCGGGGCCCGCGGCGCAGCAGGGGGCGCCGTCAGTGGCGGGGGCGCCGCTGGCTCCGCCGTCGGCGGGGTGGGGCTGGTCGTCCGCGTTCGCATCGCACCCGCCCTCCCAGCCCCCTCGCACGTCGGCTCGCCCTCCCTGCCCTCTCCTTCCTCCTGGTCCTCCAGGGGGGCCTCCAGCAAACCTCCCGAGAGGGACTCAGGGGTGGAGGACAGGTGGGCAGAGGCTGTGGCAGCAAGTGTGCCCCCAGCAGCACTGAGGAGACGGGCAGCGATCCGAGCCCGACGATCCTCGTCGGAAGGGCCGTTCTCGGGGCGCTCGGAGGGGGTGGCCTCGTCGGCCGAGGCCCTCGTGACACCAGTTGGGGTCGAGGGCTCGGTCGGGGCACGCACGCGAGCGGATCGATCCAGCCCGAAAAACGCATAGGCCGACTGCGTGCCTACGAGCCTGCTGCGAGACCTGAGTGGAGCCGCCGTGGAGGAGGGGCCGTCACCTTGCCGTCTCGGCGAGCGGCTGCCTCTCCTGCCTGGGTCAGGCTCTCCTCTCTCCGACGGGGTCGACGCGGCGGCGGCGGCGGCAGCAGCGGCCAAGGCCAGGGCAACCGCAGGGGAGGGGCGAGGAGGGGCAGGGCTGACCCCCTCGGCCTGTAGGGCCGCCTGGGCACGGAGCCTGGCCAGGTGAGACGGCACACATGGGTATGATTCGAGGCATCGCCTGGTCTACGCCGTGCGTGCCACACGGTTGCAGGCCAGGCAACGGACACCCCCTCCAGGGAGCTCCGCAAACTCATGCGCCACAAACGATAGCAATCTGGGCGCTGTGACGGGCGGAGGAGGCCTCGGGTCGGCTTCCGCGGGATCCCAAACCCCCGAACCAGCCACACGAGCGGCCGCCCAGGCAACGAATTTAGCATTAAGACAGGCCTCCTCCATACGAATCTGGATGTTACGAACCAGGCTCTTAGCTGGGTTGGCTAAGTCTAGAGCAACACTAGCGAACAGATCAGCCCAGCTGTTTCCAAGCCAGTCCTGGAGATCAAGGTTAAGCTCAATAGCCTGGGCCAGGGATTTATGCGAGGGAATCCATCCGAACGAGGGCGGCCTCCTGTCTTGGCGGGCCACAGTGGCGCGTAGCGCTCTCCAAAGTGCAGCGTGACGGGCCGAAGCGGACGCATCCCCAGGGCTCCACCGTTGCCCCTCCTCCACAAAACTTAAATGATCAGAAATCAAACACGACACCTGTGGGGAGAGGCAAGTGGCGACAAGTCCAGCATATCTTTCAGCCCTCGCCACTGTCTGCACTCCTGGGAGAGAGCCGAAAATCGCCTTACAGGGCCAGCCGTCGTCTCGCAACTGTACAACGGCCCAGGAGCATCGAGCGATCTCAGGAGTATCCATGCCGAAACCGCCACCATCGATATACAACCTACCGCCCCACGGAATCTCGGCCTCTCCCCAATGGTGCACGAAATCGGGACACATGGGAGGCCTCTCAGAGGCAGGAGGCTGTAGCGGGATAGCATACGCAAACTGCAAAGACTCGTGTGGATCATCCTGTGCCGACTCCCAAGCAAGGCGATCGAGACGCTCACGGGTCTTGAGAATCGCTTCAGACGGGGCCGACTCGTGAAGGGCAGGGTCCAGGAGGGCGGGGCATTTGTACAGACGATGGCCGTTTGTCTCACGCTCAGCACCGCATGCCAGGCACTTACCACAGTCAATCAAACGCTTCTCATACTTTTTCTGCCGAGGCCACATCGCATCGGTCCAGACACACTGCAGCGAGCCGCGTTCGGATGGGTCCCGAACTGCTTTCTCCACGCACCTCCTGATGCCGCGGTACCAGAACTGCTCGCCGTTGTGTGTCTCGATGTGGCTCTCCGCGCGCGCCAACAGCCAGCGCGTGACACCCTGGACGACCTGGTCGCGAACATCTCTGGGCGCCATCTGATTCAGGTCGAGGACGGCGCCAAGGTCGGACTCGAGGGTGGTCGCTGAGGTAAGACGCCAGCCGATCCGATGCAAGGCAAGCCACAGGGCCCCGAGTGGGCCACGCACTCGGCTCCAGCTAGGCTGAGCGCTCATCTGGCCGTTGACGAACTCCCAAGCGCCACCGAGGGCTTGCATTCCCAGCCGACCTTCCCACAGCATGCTCGCGTACATGAAGACGATGCTGGTGGTCGCCGCATACAGCGGATCGTAGTGGGGCTGGTCCTGCATGAGCATGCCCATGCATATGCTACCCGTCGGGCGCACTCCTGCCAGCAACGCAGCAACCGAGCGGATCGGCTTGAGCACCGCGTCCGAGACCCCGCTGACCGAGGCCCCGTGCGTGACGGACGGCGTGATCCCAGCGGCCTGGATCCGCGTGATACGGCTGGCCCCCACAGCTTTCTTGAGTATGAGGGGGCGTCGCACCCGTCCTCGAAGCTGCTGTAGTCGCGCCGCCTCTTGTTGCCGTCGCACCTTGGGGCCTGCTAGCTCATGGCCAAGGTTCCGAATCCACGGCAAGCCCATGACCTGCCTGGCTCGCGCCGCCGAGCGGAAGGCCCTGCTGGCACGGCTGGGAGAGGCGACGTAGCCAAGCTTCTTGATCTGGATGGGCAGCAGGAGGCCCTGGAGCTCAAACTTGAGCTGATCGATGCCCTCGCCCAACTCGTTCGCGCAGTGCTTGGCATGCCCAGTCCACTGGAGGGAGACGTCGTCGACCAACTGCCTGGGCTTGAGCGACGGGCACAGCGCGCTCATTCTCAGCATTGACCTGTGCATCAGTACAGCTCGGAGGGTCGTCGCCTGAGAGCATCCTGCCACGATGCCTTGGAAGGAGATGAAGAACTCGCTGTTGCTGCCGTGTGCTCGAACGACGCGTGGCTGGCGATAGAGCTGGGTGAGTAGCCATACCAGCCTGGGCGGGAAATTGACCTTCGTCGCCTCTCGAACCAGCACTTCGGGCGCCACCATCTCGAAGCATTTGAGAAGGTCCACCATCAGCGTGATAACGTCCAGCTTCCGAGCGAGAGCAATCTCCGAAGTGATGTTGTGTGAGAAGGCCGAGGCTGACGAACTCCTCCCTGGTCCTAGCCCCCAGGCGTGCTCCTCTCGGTGGGTGGCCTCCCACTGGGCAGCCAGCGGGCGGCGGGCACGACTCCAGAGGCGCACGATCGTGTTCAGCAAGCCGATGAGTCTCATGCCTCCGCCCGCCTTCGGGAGGCGGACCAGCACCGTGGCGAGGCGCTGCGGCGGCCAGCCAAGGTGGTGCTCGCAGGCGTGGAAGAGGAGGGACAGGGCCAGCAGCGCTTGGTCCGAGAGAACATCGAGGTGACGCGGCTGCAACCCCGTCTGGCCGATTGCCGTACCCAGCTTAAACGTGCGGATGGCCTGCCTGAGCTCCTGTATCGATAGGTGTGGCAGCTCGGGCCAAGACTGGGCCTCCGCAGGCAGCGGGACCTCTCCGAGCTTGTGGTGCTCCCATATGACCTTCCAGTCCTGGAGCTCTGTGTCCGCCAGGTCACTTGGGTGGCCGCTCTTGTTCTCTCTGGGGACCTCCACCTCCTGCTTGGGCTTGGCGAATCGGTGAGCCAGACCCGCGCCCCCTGCGAAGGCGTCCTTCGCCCAGTCGGTCCAGGCCTTGGTGCACTTGTTCTCCGCGTCCGTGGAAAGCTGCTTGGCCTTGGCGATGATAACCTGGGCCTGGACCTTCAGCGAGCTGGCCCCAAGCATTACGGCACCGGTTTGGAAGAGCTCGCGGGCGCCGCGATCAAGCTGCTCAAGTATGTGCGACTGCTTGCCAACACGTGCACAGAATCCCTCGAACTCCAGCAGGGCGGATGCCAGGCCCTTGACACGCTTGTAGTGCTGCACCCCTTCGAACACCATGCCTCTGGCAGCGCCAGGGGGTCGAGGAGGGGGGGCCCTGCCAGCCCGATCGCCTGAGCGTTGATCCATCCATTCTCGGTGCTGCTCGAAGGCGCGAAGGTGCATGTCCACGGCCTCTGCCCAGTCCACTTCCGACTGGTCACGTAGCCGCCGAAGGTGGGCACGATATCGGTCGCGGCTGCGAACTCCAGCACGATAAGCCGTCTCGCACATCTCTCGAGCACGTTGCCAACGGCGCGCATCGCGAGGCACAGCTTCCTCCCAGCCTCCTCCGTCCCAGAGAGGGTCGACAGCAGGGTCCCGCAGCTGCTCCGCGGTGTAGGGCACGCACCACTCCATCCAGTCCTCGGTGACCTCCTGCTCCGTCTGCTGCTCGCTCCGAGGGTCACCAATCCAGTTCTGCGTGTACCGTTGAAGCTCACGTTGAATGACTTCCTGCCTGCGCTGGGCCGCAACCTGATCGGGGTCCTCTCCACGCGCTGCAGGACCAGGCTGGGGCCCAGGTACGCCACTGTCATCCAGAAACTCGGTAAGCTCGTCTGACGGGGCAATCTCTCCATCCATGCTGCTTCCAGGCACCAGGGCGCATAAGTTTTTCGCCACGTCCAGTGACATTGGCGACGACTCGGGCACCTCGTACATGTCCTGGTCCTGGTCATCCAGCAGCCCATCGAGATCCTCGAACGGGTCGGCCTCGCCATCCATGTTATGGAGAACGCCACCAGCCGCAGTACGTGGGGCGCAGGGAGGATCCCTCGAAGCAGCCGCTTGATAGACTTCTTGCAATGGCCATGCAGGGAGGGCATCAGGGCGAGCATCGCAGCACCTCTCAGCGCCGCCGCCTGCAACTCCATGTGCGAGGGCCTCGGCCACCCCATGATCGCGGGCCTCGCTCGGGCATACAGGGAGGGCGATGGGGCGAGCATCGCAGCGCCTCTCCAGGCCGCCTTCGGCAACTCCATGTGCGAGGGCATCGGCCACCCCACCGCGGTGGGCCTCGCTCGGGCTTACAGGGAGGGCGTCCGGGCGAGCGACGCAGCACCTCACCAGGCCGCCAGGGGGAGGGTCTTGTGCGAGGGCATCGGCCACCCCACCGCTGTGGGCCTCGCTCGGGCTTACAGGGAGGGCGTCGGGGCGAGCGACGCAGCACCTCACCAGGCCGCCAAGAGGAGGTACATGTGCGAGGGCATCGGCCACCCCACCGCAGTGGGCCTCGCTCGGTCTTACAGGGAGGGCGACGGGGCGAGCGTCGCAACTCCTCACCTGGCCGCCAGGGGAAAGCGCATGTGCGAGGGCATCGGCCACCCCACCGCGGTGGGCCTCGCTCGGGCTTACAGGGAGGGCGACGGGGCGAGCGTCGCAGCGCCTCACCAGGCCGCCTTCAGCTCCTTCGTGTGTGAGGGCATCGGCCACCCCACCGCGGTGGGCCTCACAGGCAGCAGGCTGCTCGGTCGGGGTCGAGCTGGCCTCGGGCAGCGCTTCCACGCCTGGGTGTCGTTCGAGGTCAGGGCGACCAGGCTCCGCGCGCTCACGCCCTTGTGCAGGGCCCACCTGGCCCAAACCCGTGGCGGAGCCGTCCTGGTGCAGGGTTAGCTTCGCAACCGTCTTCGTCACGTAATCGTGCGCGCCGAGGATGTGCTGGGCCCACCTGGCCGCAACATTCCACGCGCTCACTTCTGGCCCATGTCGTGCTCGTCGCCGTGGAGGTCGCCACTCCAGCTGACGGGTGCGCTGCTGCACGGGGCCTTCTCGCCCCACGTAGCATTGCTTGCGCGTGCCGACGATGTCATGTCTGCCAGCCAGCTCCTCCTCCACGCCTCGGAGGACCAGGTCCCATGCCACTGCAAGCTGAGGCAGAGACTGCGCTTGATCGATGGAGAGATACACGTCTTCCCAACCATGCCAGGGATACCTCGCGCATCCCACGGGCAGCTGCCGAGGGAACGGCCGCGGCTCATCTAGCTCGCGCGCCATCGGCGCCTCGGTGCGCTTGGCCAGCATGAGGTGCACAGGCCTATGTGGCCATGTTATGTCGGTGACTGAAACGTCGACGGTGTACTTGGCCCCCTGGAGCATCGGGCGGTGGGCGAGGAAGTAGTCCAGGGTAGTAGCTGGCACGGCTTGCAGGCAGGTGGGCTCCCGCGGGGCCACGCACATGGCATCGGCGAGGTGGAGCCAGTCGTGCTCTAGCAACTCCTGCGGGGCCATGTTGAAGTCGCCGCCGACGATCCATGCCAGGCCTGGCCCTGTGACGACGCGCTTCACGTACTGCGCGACCTGCCAGACGATGGCCAGGTTGCGAGGCGACCTGCCCTCGCCTGTGTGTAGATACAGCGCCACGGCGACGAAGCCGCCAGGAAGTGCAGCATGCACGTGGGCTGCCACGGCCCTGCCAGGCACAATGACGCCGTCATCCAGCAACGGCGCCTTGGTGACGGCGATGTCCGTCTTGGCCAAGACAGCGACGCCGCCCTCCGTGCCGC